CCCCGGATAGGCGCCGCCTGCAGCCAATCAGCACGCCAGGGACTCTGCGCGCTTTAAGGCAGCTGCCTGGAGAACAGAAACCAAGTTCCCCGGCAACGAGCAGCATCCACCCGGCGGGAGGCCGGAGCCAGCGAGGCCCGAAAAGCTTCGGAGTGAGCCGGCCGGCCGTTCCTTTCCCAGCGCACGCCCTACTCCTCCTCCTCTTACTCGGCCGCCCGCGCCCAAGTCTCGACTCGTGATTTCGCCTTCGCAAAGCCTAGGGAGGGGGTTAGGAGCAGACGCGCCCCCATCCCTGCAGCTGCCTCGCCCTGCTTTTTCGGTTTTGCTCCCTGCCGCGTGCGCCCGGGCGGTGCGCCCCGGCAGGCCCAAGCCATGTCGATGCTGCCATCGTTCGGCTTCACACAGGAGCAAGTGGCGTGCGTGTGCGAGGTTCTGCAGCAAGGCGGGAACCTGGAGCGCCTGGGCAGGTTCCTATGGTCTCTGCCCGCCTGCGACCACCTGCACAAGAACGAAAGCGTGCTCAAGGCCAAGGCCGTGGTCGCCTTCCACCGCGGCAACTTCCGCGAGCTCTACAAGATCCTGGAAAGCCATCAGTTCTCGCCTCACAACCACCCTAAGCTGCAGCAACTGTGGCTGAAGGCGCACTACGTGGAGGCCGAGAAGCTGCGCGGCCGGCCCCTAGGTGCGGTGGGCAAATACCGGGTGCGCCGAAAATTCCCGTTGCCGCGCACCATCTGGGACGGCGAAGAAACCAGCTACTGCTTCAAGGAGAAGTCACGGGGCGTTCTGCGGGAGTGGTACGCGCATAATCCCTACCCCTCGCCGCGTGAGAAGCGGGAGCTGGCCGAGGCCACCGGCCTCACCACCACCCAGGTCAGCAACTGGTTTAAGAACCGGAGGCAAAGAGACCGGGCCGCCGAGGCCAAGGAAAGGTACGCGGCGTGCTTCCCGCTGCTGGGGCGACTCCGGGAAGCCTTCCTTTTCCCTCCGCCCCTTCCCGCCCCCGCAGTCACCAGGAACCGCGTCCTCCCCTCTGGCCCGAGCCTGTCTGCGGGTTGGCGCCCAGGCCTCCGCGGCACTGCGGCGAAAGTTCGTGAACTCTGAGATCTCTTGTTAGGGATTGGGGACTTACCTGATTTGAGAGTCCGCGCGTGGGTATCCTGGGATGTGAGTGTCGGGAAATGTTAAAAATGTTGGCCCTAGGTTTGTTTTTCATGCCTCCCTGTCTGGCTGGGGCGAGGAGTGGCGGGTGGAGAGTGAATTTCTAGAACTAGAAGGTAAGTCTTGATTGGCATCGCAAGGCAAGGGGTTCTGTGGGAGCTGAGGGTCTCGAACCCTTTTCTTCTTCCTCCCCAGAGGGTTGAAGCTGGCCTGAAACTTCTGCTCAGCCTCCACTCCCGCCCCGTCCTTCACTCGCTCCTTCCTGGTAGTCTTGGGTGAGAGGTCCTGCTTCATTCCGTACTAGCTGTACAAAGGGAGGAGTCTTTCAAAAGAAATCCACAGAGAAGAGAGGTTTGGGAGAGTTGCCGCTGCGTTTACTGCCCGGCGCCCCAAGCCCAGAAAGGATTGTTCCTTGCCATTTCTCTCGCGCTTGGCCCGGCGCCGCGGCGGGTCAGTCTGGCTGTCCGCGCCGCCGCCCCGGGCGGGGAAGGGGGCTCCAGTCGCAGACTTCTCTCGTCCCGGAGTTCAGAAATCAGTGTTTTTTTAAACCTGTCTTTGCCTCCGCCCTCCTTGCCCCAACACCCCCGGCCACCTGGCCCGGCTACTCCCGAGTGCTGTAGGTTTCCAACCGAGATTCGGAAGAGCGTCGGGGAGGCGGTGGCGGTGGCTAGAGCGCTCCCGGGAGCCGAGCAGTTTGGGGAAAACTCGAGCGCCCGGGACCCCTGGGTTTCTTTTGTTCGCTTCGGAGCCTGGGGGCCGAAGGTGTCGCCGCCTTGTTCCCCTCCGGGTGGAAAAGAAGAATCTGGATAAATTCAGCTGAAATGGCCTTTCTAGGAGAGAGAGACTGTGAGGGATGGGGAGTGAGAGACAGGCGGTCCCAGGGCATGGGGGGTACGGCCGAGCTCTCTGAAGGCAGAAGCCGCGAGGGCTTCGAGATCCTGCAGTGTATCAGCATCGAGCGTGCAGACCGACTCTCCGCTACACCGCGCCGGCTCCGGCTGTGCGGGGTCGCGAAGTTCCCCTTCCGGGAAAGGGTGCGCCGGTGTGGATATCCGCAGAGTTGTTGAGAGAGGGCGGTGAGGGACTGGGGACTGAGCGGGTAACACGGGGACGGGGACAGCAGAGTTCCAGTTTGATGTTAGTTACAAAACGGCTGTCTTTTAAGCGAGGCCCGAGGGCCCACTCCCTGATGAAATCGGAGAGACTGGCTGCGCTCCCTGTGTTTACTCAGGTCACTGGGCCGCTCTGGACACCACTTCCCATGACCTG